AAAACAAATTGAAGTAATGGCATGCCTTTAAAAGATTTGATTCCCGAAAACAAAATGTCATTAAAGACCTTGGAACTCGGAAAGTAGACTGATGAGAATAGGTTTAAATTGACCACAAAAACTACAAAGAACGGTCTCCGTTTCTATCACCGGAATGCAACACATCGCAACAGCGCCCTTGATATGTGAATGGTTTTAAACCAATCCAGCATGCGCATCCAAACCTTCGCAATTCCGAAAACTATTATCTGTCCCTTATTATTAATTGGGAACCTTCTGCAGTCCTTTTAGTCCCTTTATTCACTTACTCCACTGTATATTTCCCCCGCCCTGTAATCTCATTTTCTATAATTCCTCTATACACAGTCGTATCAAAATTCGCAATGACCGTAGGCGTCTGCACAACAGATTTCTGTGCCACCGCCGCGTTTTGAAACGAGCAAGTCGCCCGCCCTCCGAACGTCGATCGCCCGAGAGCGCGGTCGATCGCCACGCTGACGAAGGCGCTTGGGCGGGGCTGCGGGCGACGCGGCGCGGCGACGCTCGTTAAGGTCACGGTCGGCCCGCGCGCGCATCGAGCGACGCACGCGGGGCAGGGAGGCGGGGCCGCGAGGGGGCAAGACGAAGACGAGGTTCGACCATTCCTCGGGGGCGGGAACGGGCAGTCGATTAATTGACTCACAGATTGATTACCGACTCCGGGCTCTTAACCGGCTAAGGGCATTATTCCCTTAAGTGCAGTACATGTTTTCTTCGCGTGAGGTATGGCAGATCTTCCCCCTCTCCAGTGTGTTGAATGGTGAGATCCGATGTTGAGCCAGGACAAGCTCCAAGTTCTCGACCGGTTTTCCGACATGTTTAGTAGTGTGTGTGTGTGTATGGAAGGGGTGAGGATAGGACAAGGGAGAGGGAGGAAAGATCGCGCGAGGTCCATGGACCGTTTGTGAGGGTACTGCTCCGGCAATCGCTTGGTGTTGATCGGAGAAACCATGGAGAGCAGAGCAGCCTGTGGCTAGAATACTTCTGCAGACATGGACTAACTTTGTGCCGTCGGAACTCGAAAATAAGACATCCCCGTCAGAGGCAGTGCAATGACATCCGTTGATGTCCTGAGTTACTTCTCCGGGTACGGGCAGTCGAGGACGAGGGCAGAACTGGAGGGGGAGAGGAGCTCGGCGCGACGAGGACAGAAGGATTGAGCAGTGGGTGCTTGGTTGGTACGGGATGATAAACGCGTGGTGAGGGGGATGTGGGCCGGGGGCGGCGACAGTGATTAATGGGCGATTAGCAGAGAGTGGTAGGTGAGAGATATGCAGCAAAGCCGATAAGAGCTGAGCAGTTAACGACGGGTGGGCGGGAGCGGGTAGGCCAGTGAAAACGAAAGGAAGAACGAACAACTCACGAGCGGAGAAGGCGGACGAGAGACGGGAAGAGGAGAGAGAGATAGCCCTATGGATGGGGGAACAAAAGGTAGGATGAAAATGGCAAGCGATCGGCAGGTACGAATTGAGGCAAATGAGCGGGGAGGTGGGAGAATGGATCTAGTTCGATTCGGGAGGGAGAGAGAGAGAGCAGATACGTTGGAGCAGTCAAGTTAATAGGTCTGCTGGGGCGGTGGGCACGCAAAGCGGGGGAGTGGGAGATAGGACGCGCGAGCTGCTAGAAACAATGAGTGGGAGAGTTTAACGGACGGGCGGGCAATATGCGTGCGGAAGGAGGAGAGGGAGGTGGGGCATATGTGCGCAGGGTGGGCGGGGCGGAGCGAGTCAGGCGCGTGGGAGTGGACAAACCGGGTCCGAGGGCTCTATGGAGCGGGCGGGCAGTAGGGGCCGCGGGAGCGTGACGATGGTGGGTGGGAAGCGTACGGACGGACAAACAGGTGAACGTGTGGATGGGCGGTTATTTAGGGATATGGGGCTGGTGTAAGTTGGTAGGGCCGAATGGGCGGGCAGAGCGAGTAGGCGCGATGGGTGGGCCGTGGCGTGGCGGGGGCGACGTGCGCTGGGAGTCGACCTGTGGCGAGTGGAGTAGGTGCCGATGGCCGGGATTCGCGCCTTGCACCTGTAACTAGCGCCGCTCTAGGGCAGTGGAGGGGCTCGGGTGGCTTTTCCATGGTAGTGAGCTGAGAATGGACGCTTGTACCATTCAATAAAAGTCAAACGTCGGTTCAAATGTTTATCAACACAGCAACACTCACAACACTACGAATTTTGTCACGTATACCAGCTTGTTTTGAGCAAAACTCAGCTACTTCCTACTTGTCAGAGAATGGACAAAATACGGGGCATATACACATACAGTGTTTCCAATTATATTAATATAAATCTTAGAGCAATCAATTTTTAAATGTAGTACAAATAGGGTATCAACAATATAAATACTATTCGAATTATTTTTCGGAAGATCTCTTGTGAGGGGAGATGGGTAATTGGAAAAAAATATTTGAGACAGAAATTAGGAATAATTTCTAAACAATACTTCACGGTCGAAAACTCGCTCGAGTTTCAAAGTAAAACGATAGCCTTCACGTCTGAAAAAATAAAAATGTTTTTACCGGGCAGAAACTAATGGAGCAAACAACAAAGCCCCTTCAAAAAACTTAAAAGGATGAAATGAAAAATATTGAATGTCTATAAGAGATGTATCAATAGCTGCAGCGAAAGGCATAATAATGTAAGTAGTAGACGGATAATTTGTTGAAGTTTTCGTGCACTGACTAACATTTGAGTTGTAAGACCCTCGATGAAACCAACATTATTGGGAAAGAGAAATGTTTCTCAACCTAAAACCATAACGAGTTTTTAAATTCTAGTAAACGTGAGAAAGTATCCTTATTGTTTTTAATGTGGAAAACAATTGATTGATTTCCTGAACAGAGAGAATGGATAACTGTTCAGCCCACAGAAACCACAGAACACCATTGGGACCTTCATGGCCAATAAATCAGCCTTCAGAACAAATACAAAGCTCTTAGTCAGCTAAAATGCTTCAAGGCTCATTCCACTAACGATCCAATATTCATTTCTATTCTAATCTATTGATTATTTTTATAGAGTTATTACTTATTTTATTTGTTTACGGATGATTGAAATTCACTCAATTACAACGAAAATACTGGAACGTCACGCCTTCCTCAATTAATCAATTTGATGTCCGGTAACTCAATGAAATGACTAAGCATACTAAGAAATGTCACTGAATAATTCTAGAACTTTGACCACTCGTCATAATAAATTTGGCCAGTCCTATGTAATTCGATGTGGTATTTTAAAGTAGTGGTACAACAGAATGGCGTAGAATTCTTATATTAGTTCGTTTTATTATCTCCGCCTCACCCTGCTCTCAGCTGCCGTCTATTGGCACTTGAAATATATTTTTTCACAGTTTTTCAATTTTTCGGATCCTTAATATTTGAATTCCAATGTGACTTTAAGAATATTAAAGAAGGATAAAATATGGTCATATTAGAACATTTTCAATGGAAAATAGAAAATACGCATTTTGAAGCAGTTTTTCATCGAAAATATTAGATTCTTCGAGAAACTTCGTACGCAATTATTTGAACAAAAGAATATTTCGAAGACACATTGATGTCTTATTAAGCTGTGCATTTAGCACTACCCCTACAAAAGATTTAACCAATAAGCCCGTAATTTTGGGCGACCGTGCGTGCGTGCACAAACCTTGTTGGTAGCATGCACACATAAGGTAGTATGTATTCGCATGTAGCATGTATGTTTTTATTGTTAAGTCATACTAGTAGAGCACTCAACTGTACTCGGCATAGCTATGTAGAGTCGAAACTCCTGCAACCGTCAGGACTCGAACCCAGAACCTCTCGGGCAGAGGCAATGCAGTGACATCAGCGATACCATGAGCCACATCTCCCGGTATTTCTTGCAACGAAATGAAGTAAAGATTCAGAATACAGAAACCATACAATCCGAATAATATATACTTCCAGCAGGTGGAAAAGGCCTAGTAGGAATTTGCTTCAATAGCTAAAAAATATTTTCCTTAGAGCAAATAGGAATTTCTGCACTTATATGGGAAGAACAATCTTCAATGTTTGAAGAAACAAATGTTTCTGTAATAATTTCATCCTGAAATACAATTGTTAACTTTTAAACAAAGACATTCGGTAAGTGAAAAAATCGATACAGAGTACGAACTGTCACACATGCTTTCATAAGTCAACATGCACAAGATGCAGACTTTCTCAGGCGCTTGGAGATTCGTGACCTTCAGTTGCTGGCCAACATTTAAATGCTGTTCCATGGTCTTTCTGAGAGCAGTCCTTCAACTCAAGGACATGTGTCGCGGGGAGCCAATCACATTGAAAAGTCTGCGCACATTACACATTTCTTCGCAGGGTGTCGACTTGTTTCATGTAATCTTCCTGGTCATCATGTTTTTTTGATGAAAAAAAGTCTTTAGATATAAAAAAATTAAGCTACACCCATGCCAAATTAATCACCATTCCATCAGCTTTTTTATTTACAACTTTTACCCTGAGCTCCTCGACTGAGTGGCTGAGTGTTTTGAACAAGGTAGGATCATATATATATATATTTGGACCGCAGAGCCAAAATTTAACTAGGTGGGGCCACGGACTTCAACTTGTTCAACCAAGGCTGACACCCTGCGCCGCGCCCGCCCCTGAAGCTGCCGGCCGGGCGCTGCCACTCACCGTTCGCGGGGCGCAGATGTGCTGCGCGTCGTGCACCGAGGCCGCGCCCCATGGCGAAGGCTGGGCGGCGTGCGGCGCGGCGGCGGCAGCGGGCGCGGCGGCGGCCCCCCGTCGCCCGGGGGGGGGCGGGGGCGGCGCAGCAGCAGCGGGCCGAGGCGGCGGCGGCGCGGCGTGCGGCGGGCAGTGCGGGCAGCGGGCGGCGGCCGCGCGCTGCTCACGCGCCGCAGGAAACAGCAGGCAGGTAGCGCAGGGCAGTCGCGGCGTGCTGCTCCGCCAGCGCTCGCACCCGCCGCGCCGCCTCTCGCGCCACCGCCCGCCCCCGCCCCCGGCCCCGGCCCAGCCCCGGGCCCAGCCCCCGACGACGACAGCAGATCTGCGCACAGGCACAAGCGGCGCACCTCACTCAGGGCGTTCCACAAGGTCCGACGCCACCCAACATTAATTTCTAGTAGAGGGACAGACAGGGTTCGGGATGCTGCTGATCCATCACTCAAGAAATTCAAAAATTGTTATCTTACTTCAATTCATTGCACTCCCGAAAAGAAAAGTAAAGCTCCAAGAAAAGGAATATGAGAAGGAGGGGGACCAGAGAATAGGCTAGTGAACACTAAAGTGAATAATAATCTGGCGAAGAACATACGTTACAATTGGTTTAAAGGATAAGAAACTACGAAATGACAAAAGAGGAAATAGGAAGACTGAAGCTGTTGTGGAGTATATAAAACATGAGTGGGGTGTAGAAGGAATAGAAGTTGCACTAAAATAGACTAAAATATGACACAAGGAGTACAAAAGAGAAATTGGAAAAAAATTGGAAGAAAAGATGAGAGGTATCAAAGAAAACAAACCCATTGAGTAGATATGCGTAGAGGTGTAGAGAAGTGTAGACGAGTAGGATATAACAGGAAGATCGGAGAGGAAGAGAGAGATGAGGAGTGATAATATGGAAAAAGACCAAGACTGAAAATTGAGGAATGAGATGGAGAAGGGAAAAGAGGGAAGATGCGAGAGAACCAATAAAGAGGAGAAAACAGGGAGAAACGATGAAGACAGATGCGACAAACGAAGGAAATAAGATAGAAAGGGGTGGGAGAAAGAGAGAGCCGGGAGCAAATGAGGGGAATGAAAAAGGTGAGAGAGGGGGATGGAGAAAAATGTAGGTGTGGGAGAAAAGATGAGAAAAACGAGTGGGAGAAATGATGGGAAAAACAGAGGAAGGTGGAGCGTGCGCATGACGAGAGGAGGGGGATGAAGGAGTAGGGGAGAGAAGTGGTGGAGTGGGAGTGAGGAGAGGGGAGGGAGGTGAGGCCGGACGGGGAGGGCGCGGCGCGCGTACCTGCGTGCAGAACCAGGATCCGGCGGGCGGCCGCGGGGGGCAGCAGCGGGTCGGGCAGGTCGCGCAGCCACAGGCGCAGCAGCTGCGCGGCCGAGGGCGCGTCGGCGGCGGCCGCCTGCAGGTCGCAGTCGCCCTGCGCGTCGAAGGCCGCGCGCAGCCGCTCCACGAGCGCGGGGCTGCCGCCCGACAGCCGGAAGACACCTCCGCAGCGCGGACCTGCGCCACGCCACGCGCACCTCGCACCCGCACGCCCCTCCGCGCGCAGCCCCCGCTCTCCACAGGCCTCCCAGGATGAACCGCGTCCACAAACACTCAATGCTCCTCAACTCTCAACGCTTCGAACAGGGCGATCATGATGCAGAGGACTCTAAGGACGGGTCGACGTGAAACACTCAATGCTCCCTGTCGGAATCCTTCTAGATTACACCGAAGAGTACATATGTACCGCAATCTGAAATACTCGAACACACGCCCCCATTTGGGAGTCCTTGGTGATAATAACGAAGTGGATAAAGGTCTCTGTAGAAGGTCCGCGTCGTGAAATACTCAACCCAAACCCCCTCCCAAGTTCAATATTTCGGAGTCCGTGGAGATCAGACCGATGGTGATATACAAGCATACACCACGAGGTAAGGAAGGTGTAAGGAGATATACTTGTACGCTTTTCAGTGCAAGTGAGAATAAAAATGGTTTAATTATACGAAAGAACCAACCCGAAGATATAGCTTTGCTCCATCTCGAAAATCTCAGATCAAAAGTATAAGCCACTTACAATGTTACCTTACAAATAAAAGGTACTTTATGAAATCGTTAATTGACGATTTCTTTAGGGGAAAAATATAAATACAACTTTACTACAAAATGACGACACACGTTCCCGTATTAGTTTTCTATTTCCTTTGGTTTCGGTTAGCTAATTGAACTTCCAACATATTCTTGCCTGCTGCCATCTATCGCCGTGCAAAGTTTTCAAATTTTCTTAATATTTCGGTTTTCTAATTGTAGAGCGGAAATATTACTTTACGGTTATTAAAGAACATTGCAATTAGCACTATACTTTCGAAAAATTTGAAGAAAAAATGTGGAGCCGTTTTTTAGAAAATAGCGTTTAGGCGTTTCTGAAATTGCAAAATTTTGAGCTAGTTTCGACAGAAAACGGTTGTTTTCGAGAAGCTTTATATAAATTTATTAAAGCACATGTACTCATAAATATAATAATGTGATTTCATGGCATGCTGGTAGTTTTCGGCACTTTTTATGTCAAAGCATTGCTGTGTCTAGTCCTATCAGTGAAATTTTAAGCAACCCTTAAAAATTGTTTGTTTTTTCGCCATTTTTATGGCATACAAGGAGGAAAACTTTATGAATGAGGTGGACCTTTTCTGGAATTTAAGCTTTTTAACTGCTTAATCGAGATAAAACTATTGAAAGGCACGTTCAAGACCATCTGCGGTAAAATAAAACGTTTTTGCATTACATGTGCTTTCGTTCTTCAATTAAACAATATTTTATTTTGTTGATACATTTATGATGTCGAGAATAAATAATTGAGGGAGATTTATTTTTCAAGGAGGAAGGCATACGAGCAAATTTACAATCCCGGTGGTTCTCAAGAACTTCGAAGTGTAGACTTTTGAGGAGCCATTTTAAATTCCACCTCCAAACGAAACGCAAAAGATCGCGAGATCAGCGTCACGGTCCATCCTAGAAACCTGTCCGCTCCGCCGAGTGAGGCCGGGGCCCGCGATCGAGAAGCACCTCCGCCTTCACCCCGGGCTTCGCTTCGGGCGGACGCCCTACGTGGAACGCCACAAATCAGACCACACACTAATTTCAACTTCCTTTACCGGCATTTAACTCAAGGCAAACGTCTCCTCTGGGAACATGTTTACTTCACACGAACCGTGTTTTCAACTCTGGAAGAGTGCATTCACACAGCAGTGTCACGTGTTGAGGAGAGCAATAGACACAAGACGGGCTCGGAAGGAGCCGTGCGTGCACTGAGGCAGACGCACACAGAGGGAGGGCGTTGCAAGCTCTGCGAGGGGAAGGGTGAAGCTGGGCTACTCACTGCAGGGTGTCCTTCCCGCGCCCTCCGCTGGGCCAGCCGTCTCCCGGCGCGGCCTGCCTTCCGTCAACACCGCGCACGCGCTACACGTCGTCGCACACATGCCACATTCACATGTCCTGCTCACACCATACCACCGCACCAGGTCGAGCACTCCATTCAAAAAATACTAGACTTCCAAACAGCACGATTCATTTCATGATTTCCTTGGTTGCATTTCTCATTCCGTAATAAAAAGGTACACGCTACATGAACGTAAAAAGTTTTATTTTCAAAATATACATAACGTAAAAATTAAAATTTATTATTTATATCTATAGCAATAATAAAAAACCACTGATATCTCCTCTACATATAGATTACGCAAAGGAAGATTTGTTAGACGCCACAGTTATAAAACCTCGTGAATGTGCTGATGCTGGAGATATAATTATCGCCCCCCCCAGAATGAAACAAACAGAAATTTGCAGGAGTACATGCAATCCACAACACGAATTACGCAGCATCACATGTTAACAGATAGTACTACGTGTAAACGGTCCCACAGCCCATTGAAACACTGGTGTCCCTATAGAATATGAGTAATGTTTCTGAGGATGTAATAAACAAAATTGTAACTTTTGAACCGTTTATACTTTTGAAGGTTTGGGATATCCTCCACTGAAACTGTAAAATATCGCATTCTATGTAAAATTATTAACAATATGTGCAATTTAATCGCGCAGACCTCAACCATTGTTTCTGAACAAATGTTTATCACTTTTAGAATGATACCCACGCAGGGCGCACATATATGAAGTAATCAGAGTCGGGTCATTTCAATTGTATTTTGATAAATAAGCTATTTTCACATTTAAGGCGATGATTTGCACAGTGTAGATGATCGCACTGGCCCATCTAGAGCTAACAAATTCAAAACACCGATGCCAACAAAACCTTATTTAGCACAGAGAATAGTATAATAAATTTTTATATGCGGTGATTGCCAATTACGAAGTACTAATGAGTAATGAAAAAAATATTGTAGAGTCGAACAGGAAAATCCAATAAAAATTAAAACCGAAACTACATTTGTTTTCTGCATTCAATTTGTGATCAGCGAATTAACCGCTAAGCATACGCGATAAAACACGTTCCCACAAACAAGAACTTTACATTTCATTACACTGAACGAGTGTATTATTAAACTTTATTTTCCGTAGCTTGTATAACGGCAATCCGGACATTCCCGACCACCAAACGAAACGAAGCACTGACAATTACAGAGGTTTTTGTAAATAGCGCCATTGGTGGATCCTCGTTTCGGTTTTCAACTCAATTGGTGCAACGGGCCTCAGCTGTTTCGGGCACTGCTTTGCATGTCGTGTCGGGAAAACATTACCATCCCATTCACTGCCCTTTCATTCTGGGATCCAATCTCTAAAATTGGAACTGTTGTTTTCGCTTTTCTAATGCCCCTCGCGGCACTCGTTCATTTGCGGGATTACGCACGGCGGAAACCAGTACAACGCGTGAAGTGAAACTCAGCACGATTCAATACGTTCAAAATCTCACTAAACTTTCAATATTCAAGTACTGCAATATTACGCATATGGATACTGAACGGAACCTTTTGGATTAAAAGGTAAAACTACATACGCGTACGATTCGATGATCAGCACTATCTATTACTTTAATAAATACGGAATATAATGATTTCGGAAATTAAAAATTACACTATGAGTGTTCTTCACATCGTTAAGATAATTTTACTTATTGATCATCTCTTGATTCCGTGATGACATGTCGTTCGCTACTGACATAGATGCAAAATCAGCAATTCCAAGAATTAGTTAACGGCATGTGAAAGGAGACACAAGGAGAAGCGAGAGCTGACAATATAGACAGGGGAAGTAGATCAGTCTTTTCACACTAATGGTAAAACTTCAACGAACTACCCATGTATACGAAAGCCAGTTGCATAGGTCAAACTAGACTCTGGAACATATTTGCAAACATGCTGCAAATCATGCTATTATCTTTATCTGCCATTACAAGACATGTGACATATCTCTTACAGACCAATCAATGGAAGTGATAAAACGCTTGCAAAAGCGTTGCATGTCTCCGTTCTTCCTGTTTTTGGAAAGTTTTTGATAGTTTGAACGATACGCAAGGGAGATATATCCAAACAGAGCAGGAAATTTACGTATACTGTATCTGATTTGTGTTCACTAATTTCGATACAAAAATAAATAATAAAAATAACTCACACCGAATATCTACTCCACTTTACTAAATTTGTAAATATAAAATTTCGATCGACAAGATAGAAAAAAGCATGGTCCACTAGGGGTGATGTGCCTTCCAGCACTACAAGTAATGATTGTGCTCTGTATATGTACACTTATAGAGGGCACAATCACCTTGCTTTCTTTGCCATTGTGCAGTTTTCATTACTTCATAGTAGGTCGTCTATTTACGAAAGCGTTTGCCGTTGCAACCTTGCTCACGCACCACTTCCTTCAGGTAAACAGTAGAAGGCAACCGAATGCCGCCTGACACGCGGAAAACCCAAGGGTGACCAGGCGGTCTAACACATCTCATAAATCAGAAATATTGCCTATGAAACCAGGTAGCAATCACTGATTGCACTAACTGTGTGTCATGACACATAAACTTCTCTATTCATTATTATTCTACCTATTGCGGTAGATCAATTGCAGTGGAATTTCGAAATAGATTAAATGTTGGAAAAACGGCGATTGCCTTTGAAGGTAGGTGCCAGAAGTCCTCTTTGAAAGCCCCTTCAGAGACCTGAGCTTTTTTTAAATTGTCGACCCACAGATATGAAGTAATCACCTGTCTATTTGTATTACTGGATAGGCAATTGCAAACTTTCTGAAGCGCTTTTTTCTTTCGAAAACCGCAAACGCGCAGATTTTCGGGCACAAAATGAATAAGGTGATTTGAAATGTTATTTTTTCTAATTTGACAGAATGTTAATTTTTCTTTACAAAATCACAATGTTTACATATGCTATATTTGATCATGTATTAACTCAATTTTTTATTTATGAAACTCCTTTAATCGTGAAAATGAAACATTGTACATTATTTACAATGTAGCAAATTCGAATTATAGTACTAACGGGGCTTATCGGGAGCAT